AACGAATTTCTCCCGGATGGAAGCTCTTAACCGGAACAGACAGGTTCCTTTTCATCAATGCGTAGCCAGAAACCTACCCGCTCCACAATTAATGTATGGTTCTTTATATAATTGTGACTAAATATCTTATTATTAGTACGTACCCAGGATACGAAAAAGTGTATAAGACGGTCCAGTTTAAGAAAAATTTCCACCGCCAGCTCCCCCATATTTAGCAATTACACAGGTGACTCAGACATTGTAAATACGCGCTACATTGATTTGACGTACGTATTATAAACAAATACTCTAATGGTGTATCTTAACTGCATCCACTAAATTAAGTTAGTTTTATATTTAAATTCAACCTTTTATCTTTATTAAGTGCACTTTTACCTCAAAGTATAGGCGAGAACTATTGGCTCTATTCTAAATTGCTCTTATATATGCAATAAGTCGAATTAAATGGAAAAGTTAAACAATATGATTGAATTAAACGATATTTTCTTTTTCTCTATGAGCACCTCGTGTTTGAGCAAAATTGATGTTTACCTTATGATCTCGACTTTTTTTTTGTTAGATGTCATAACTCGCCTCTTAGTTACGACGATTATTATAACGATATGCTACGGTTCAAAAAACGTGATTCAGGCGATTTCTTGCCAAGGCAATGTTTTTCGTAGTCTGTTCTATCAGTGTTATCAGGAATTGGCGACAGGCAGATGACATTACCCTTAGCGGAGCTTTGGAGCTTTCCTTAAACCCGATATGGATAAAGCCAGCTACAGGTTCGTGGCACTTCTGTTTATTTGATTTCTGGAGGATTTCAATCAATCATTAAATATCTTGCAGTCAAGCTTGCCATAAAAATAGATTTACTGATCGGCTAAAGGTAAACGAAAGCATCCAAATTTAGTTCTTAATATATATATATATATATATATATTTCAAAAGTCTGTACTTAACAGTATTTTTTGTTGCAAAAATTCTGTCCTGAAACTTGGCCTGGAAAAATTTTTCTAAGTTAGAACAACTTCTTTACATGTGATAGTTTCGTCTTCTTTAAGTTCTAACAACTTACGCACTTAATTACAGAATTACGATCTGAAGCTCGGCAAGAGAAACTCGTTTGAGTTCCTGCAGCTTCTTTTCATATGGGGAAATTCTGTCCTGAAAGTTTGCCGAAAGGAACTTCTTGGATTCTAACAACTTCTTACTGTAGGCGAAAATCCTGACTAAAAATTGTGTCAAGAGAACTTTCTTTGAATTTTAACAACTCCGTTTTGTACATGGGAATTCGGCTTTGCAGCTTAGCCCGGCATTGCATTTTTTCAAGTTTCATAATTTCTGTACGTGGGAATTCTGTCTTAAAACTTGGATAGAAAAAATAGTTCTACCGACTGCTTTTTCTGTGCGGAAGTTCTATCCTGGGGCTTAGCTAACAGTTACCCCTTTGAGTTCTAACAACTCTTTTGTATGTGAAAATTCTGTCGTCAAACCTGACTAGGAATTACTCTTTTGAGTTCTAATAATTCCTTTTTGTACGTAGGAATTCTATTTTAAACTTGACCAGGGAATTCCCCTTCGAATTCCGACAATTTTCTTTGTACGTGCTCTAGAAGTTGACCCGGAATAATTCTTTCAGGTTCTAACAAGTCTTTTTCGCAGGTAAGAATTCTACCCTGAAAATTGGCCACGAGGAACTCCTTTGGGTTCTGCCAACTTCTCCTTGCATATGGGACTTTTGGTCAGAAAGCTGGCGAAGAGAGAGAATCCTGTCCTGAAATTTGGCTAAGACAAGCTCTTTTGATTTCTAACAACTTCCTTGAACGTAAAAATTCGATCTTTAAACTTGGGAAGTAGGAATTGATTAGATTTTTGAACGTGAATGCTCTGTCCTAAAATTTAGGTAAAAGTTTTTGTGTCGTTATGATGCTGTGATAACTGGTTCAAGGAAAAGTATTTGAATGATTTAAAAGCTGATTTTGTCTATTTCCACGACAGTTATGCAGCGATTGATGAAAATCAGCCAGTTAACTGTCGGAGTAACAAAGCCAACGTACCTTACCTTTTCAAAGAATGATCCGGATATTAACGCGGTTTTATGGTACGCTCTCCTATTTTCTGAACATCTCCCCAGCCCTTATGTCTAAACTGTTTATCGAGTATTGTCCTACCATATTACCGTGAGCTAAGAGGTATGCATAGAAAATGATTGCCAGCAACCTCAAGTAAACCCTACGCTCAGCCTAAACACTTGCAGTTGTATAAGAAGAGCTGAGCCAAAGTGCTACTTGGATGTTCTTTTTTGAAAAATTATGACTTGATAGATGATCCTTCTGTCTTTGTTTTTGTTTCTATGTTTAACTGATTCTCTACGTTTCTATTTAAATAAGGTAAATTATTTGTATTTTTCAAAACAGTATATTTCTATTATGTTATGGATGTTATCGTATGTCTTCCGGCTAACGCGATGATGAGATACGTACGTAATAAGAATGAACATTGATTACATATAAGTTGATCTTACATGAACGAATAAAACCTCTTTCGTGATGTTATGAAGGTTCGTGATACGATAAAGGCTTGTGCGCCGTGGTTTGCCGAATTTTTATCTAAGCTCGTTCAAAATGTCGACAGACGCCTCTTGCCCTAAAATTTCAAAATAAGCAGCCTTAATCGGTCTCAGCTATTTGATCGCTCTATCGTCGGTACCGCACGCGGATACACAGATATGATTTATCTTCATCACGTTACATTATTAGTAAGTATGGTTCGATACAAAACCTTAACTTATTCACGTCATTGAAGAAACACAACAAAAGTTATTATTGCTATCTAGCTAGCAACAAGCGTTTTCTCGTGTTGGTCCAATGTTAGAAACCTAGATGTAGAATATGAGCTTACTGTTATTATTATGGCTTGGATCAATTTCAGAAAAGTGTGAGCAGACGTAGAAACGTATAGCCATAATAGTCCAAAACCTAGGCGTATGAAATAATAACGGACCGGTAAACAAGGCCAAATCTTGGCGACCTGGATGCTATTTAAGCTAGCAAGATAGTTACATAAAAGCAAAGGGCGCTCAAAAGCACTTTCTTTCGAAATGCAAGAGCTATAAAATAATTTTTATTAATTATTTTTTATCATTAAGGATTTTTAGCGGTAAGCATATACTAACTGAAATGATTGCAAGGGTTCTGTGTAACCTCGTACCAGGTATATGTTAAAAAAATGAAAAGAGAAGTTAATGATACTTGCCTTGCTGAACCGCTATTTGTGTACGGGTCTTCCTTTTCGAGATTGGAAACTAGAAAGATCAAAAACGATATTTCCGTGAAAAAATCCTATGTAGCGCTTATAAATGTAATTCTATATAGATACCAATAATAACAACAACTGAGCTATCTTTGACGAGAATTTGATCCATCTATTAGCTAAGTTTCTCAAGAAACTGAATAATCCGGGCAAAGAAACCCATAAAACGAGCCTGGTCCACTACAAAACATTTTATCCAAATGTAGGAGTAAACAATTATCTCAGCTGATTCTTTTAAGCCATTAATTCATATAGTACCTAAATGTTTTTACGATCTGTAATGAGCATATTGCGTTAAAAACGCACATGTCCTGAACATGCCACTTACTCTGACCCTCGTGTTTATTTCGATAAAGATAACTACGTTTATCTCACGCGGTATCTAGGGCGCTGAATTTGAGTTATATGCTAGCAATAAGTCGATTGACCGGTTCGCTGTAATGAAGCGGTCCCGCCAAAAACACGAGCGCTCATCCTTGCGCGTACACATCGCGATATTAGTTGCAGCCGATCCCGTTTGTAACCGCGGACATGTGAACGTTCGGTCCTTGCACATTAGACGTGAGCAATACCGAGCCACCACCTTTATGCTCTGTGCACATATGTCAGAGCCGATTCGCGTGTCCTTCTATTATGACAAGACATGGTCATAAAACTCAGCGTAGTGATTATTGCGTTGAGACGAGGGTCCACCTGGCATCCACCGCCTCAAAGTCTCTTAACCCCATGGCGGGAACCATCACAGGTTTTGGAACCGAAACGGGCCTTTTGTTCCATTCAAATGTGGGTTCTATTTGAGGGAAGACGCCTGGCTTAGGCCTAACATTGCACAGCGTGAGGAACAAGAAAACCTAGTGCTTGGTTTAATGAGTGACCGCGTCTACAGTTTCGTTTTACAGCTGTAGGCCAGTGTATTAGGTCCGTGTAAACCCTGCGAGAGCTTTGAAGTTGGGCGGAAAGGTTCCAGTGAGGCGGTAAATGAAGACGTCATATTAGCACAATTTCCTAATTTCTGTCAATAGAAAGCGCTTTTTTCGGGGTGAATGCATACAGGTCCTCACTATCATGTCTACCCCGCGCGTAAGAGTTTCCCACGTAAGACGGTGTTCTCCAGTGGGACAGCTGGGATAGATGGGTCTCGAACTACCCTCAATTCTGTTTTGCACGCAACGGATTGAAGCGGCGCTAGGCTGTCTTCAACGTTACGTGTACCTCAACGTGAAGGCTTCAAGTCACGAAACGGCAGCTTCGGCTCGAACGCGATTCCCTCCACGCTCTCAGTAAAACACTCCACCAAGAATCTCGGTCTTGTAGCCTTCGAGCGACTACTTCTCGTTCTAAGTACTGTCTATGCAATTCACCTAAATTATTATCTTTTCATTCTTTATCATAACGACAAATCATTAATATCAGCAGAAATGATATTTGCTTAACTCCGTCCCTATACGGCAATAGGGACGGAGACTTCTAAGACCTAACGTACTGTCAGTTCAGATATGAATGATTTCAAATCAAGGTACGTTCATCGTTGCAAATTTGAGAGTCACACGTATTTCGCTCAAAATTACACACGTTTCTCACAAGTATCATATGGAGCATAGGCTCGCTTCGTGGCGACATGTTACAACGCTACCTTTAGTTCTGAGGTACTTGTAAATATTCCTGAAAACGTTAACGATGTAAATGATTACGCCGCGAGAAAATCGACAACACCAACTCGTTATATTTGTATCACAGTTTATTAGGATTTGTATCGTACTTTATTTTGCTATGTACATATGTTACATGAGAACAGCGGGCAATAGACAGATATTCAATTTCGCTTTGTTATATTGCAGCAATGCAAGATATACGTACGTAGCAAGGTCTCTGTCCTATTGACCTCGACTTGATATCACCTGTTTGCTATTTGTACTGTGACATTAACTGGCAACATTGGGCTTCGCGTTTGTCCGTAGAAGTAGGAAAAACGGTCTATACCGAACTAGAAAAAAGTCACCAAGCCTGCGCTGGTTCAAGATAAGCTACCGAATGTCCTATTTATGTAGGATGGAGGTGTTGGTATCTTAATTCATTTTCTCTAGCTCCTTGACAACGGTCCAACTACTATAAGATGAAACAGCCTTTGCGATCGTTTTACTTTGATAACCGTTTGGTAGGTTAGTCGGCGCATTTGTCGACTGAAACTTATATGATTTTTCTATGTATTTACAATACAGATATGATACAGTATTAAGGACAATGCTCATTGACTCGGCTAGAGTAGACCGAGCGGCTAGTGGTAACAACACGCTCTCGAGGTGCTTCCCTAAAAAAAAAAATCCATCCCATTAACTTATCCGTAACTGATCTGTTTTCGATTAACTTACTTCCACTACGACAACAATGGCTAATCGTAAATTACTCCACAGCGAAAATCGTAGTTACTCCATATCATCGAGTTATTGCTACGAACCTTCCCAATGAAACAACAATAAGTCACCCGGACATACGTGCTATATGGCTCTGAGCGGAGAATCGTTCCCTCTGGTTCTAGTTATCGTGCTAGCCGTCCTTGATACGTGTCCATTTGTTTATAAAGAAAAAAAATCTAAAACTGTGCAATTGTTTCCTGTTTAAGCAGACAGATTGTTGTTTAGTTGATGGATCACATCCAATATTACAGCGTCTCTTTTCGTTCTGCAATCGTGATGGCGAGCGCCGTTACGCCCTACGTTCTTCTACCGTCGCTGTTCACTGCATCTTTAGCGCTTCGACGTTTGTAGCGACGCCTATTTAACGAACAAGTGTAGAGCAGAAGTCCACTTTTTCATAGAACGAAAGAACACAAACGCGCGTATCTGCTGATTTAGCGACTGACTTAGTCGCTCACTGAGCATCTTGGCGTATTAGAGGATGATATTTTCTTCGTTCTTTGCATGTATATCGTCGATCTGGTTTTTGCTCGCCATCGTAGTAACGTAAACTTCACAGCAGCAGAAGCAGAATGAACACGAGTTCTGCCACAAACATCTGCCACAACGTTATACCAATGGTTCTTATTAGTGTATGTATCTGTCTGGATGTGTGACCAATCTAGAAAGTTCAGACATCTCCGGAATAATCAACTGAGTAAATAAACGTGACATTCGACGTCTCGTCGTCGGTAGTATATTGACGCCTGCGTTCATTTCTCAGTGGTCTTCCCTATTACGATATATCATTCCCCGCCCCATTTAATGATCCGTCGTCTCGCTGCTGCAAATTCCAGTGGCGTTTCAGAGGCTGCCACTTTCAGCTTCAATGGCGAACATTGGCATTCCTGATCTTTTCTCTCTACCTGCAACAAAGCACATAATCAAATCCGCCTGCTTACCAAAACTTGATAGACCACGCTCTGCACTTCCGCAAATCGGTCTTCTGAAACAACGAGCGACAGCGCCCGCTAACTCGTGTAACATTCAACTTTACAATAGCGCTGGACCACGCGTTACCGCCTCCGCCATCTTCTGGAGTTCAACTCCAGAAAGTTAGTAACGTGCCATGTGCTTCTGGCATGAATTTGTCGAAAGTTTTCAAACATATGCGTAACTAATGGAAGCCCATAGCGGACGTCGACCGCAGTCGCCGTATCGGGTGCACTTTAACACACCGACTTACTTTCATTTTGAGTTTCTGATGGCATAGGATTCTGACGTCTCGTTAACGACGCTCCTGTTGCACATATACTACTCGAAAATATTACAGCTATATATTTATCTTAACAAATAGTTTGTTCTTTTTTTTTGCTCTAGTTCAACATTACTGTCGGCCTAATGTGGCACTAAATATGGCCTGTGCACAACATGTCGCACGGGCGTCTAACACTGATCATATCTAAATCGATTATCACTTCGGCTCTGAAGTTTACCTTTATTGGTGGCATCCGCGCTATAAGTAAATTTAATTACTATATATCTATACATAGCAACGTTATCAACAATGCATTAATAACTAACCTAATAGCATAAAAAAATAACGATAATAACTGGGCTTAAATAATCAACGATCAGCAGCTTGGCCAATAGAACCGCCTTCATTTACTTCGGCCTTCGCCCTGGGTAATTACTCATTCATGGCTGGATTTAGCTTCGGAGGATCGCTGTACAGGTTGGACTGAGCCCGTCCGCGGCGCCGGTTCAGCGGAATTGAGTGTAGTTGTTGTAACTGCGGTCGTTGTGGTCCCAGGCGCGATTGGCGAGATACCGTTTAGGTTAGCGACCGCCATATTATAAGCGGGAGGTGGCGTACTCGCCTCCCGGCGAACGACTTCGTGATATGAAGGCGGCTTATCCGACGCAACTGAAACTGTTCGATGCACTCGCGGGTCATAAATAGTAAAATGGGCTTCGTCGTTATGTTGTTGTTGAAGAGCGATGGCACGTAGCTGAGCTCTATGTTGAGCCTGAAGTTGCTGGCGTGATTTGCATACCATGAGAACGAAGGCGGCGATTAACACGAGCCCTATGAAGATCGATATCGAGATGAGCGTGAACCAGACAAACGAGAAATCGTGACTGTCCGTCAGCAGTGACAAGGGTACGCAACACATGACCTGTTCGACATCTTGGCAATATTCAATACCGTTGATTTCAATGATGTTGCCGGCCGTAGCGCCCTTGCAGGGACAGTGGCTGAAATCCTCGGTTCTCGGACGAATCGTCGGCACGAGAAGCTTAACTCGTTCAAGTAGAGTTCGATTTTTGCGTTGCCTACATTGCGTATATGGTTTACGCTTGGCAATCTTACGGAGAGCCCCGGTGCATTGGTCGCCGTCTTTAAGTGAGACCGCCGGACAAGGCAGCGGTTCCGTGTAGCCAGGCACGCATTGGGCTCCATCGAACAGATGCTCACCCTGTTGGCAGACGCACTTTGCTTGCCGACATACGCGCTTCCCTGGGTCACAGTAGGCCAGATCCGATTCGCATTTTTCCGATCGCGCGTACACATAAATGTCGCTGAACTGTAGTCCCGTCAGCGCACTGCCTCCTGGCCGCTTGAACGCGCAACTAAATTGTGCCGATGCACCCGCGTATTGTACAGTCATTTCAGCGCTGATCGATGGCTCGTCGGGTGCGAAGATCACCGGACTTTCGCCGATCGCATGCCCCTCAGCGTCTCGCCAAACGACTGTCATATTGCTTAGCTGTTCAGAAGCTGCGTCGTTCGGTATCTCTGATGAACATTGTACCCGATACGTAGGCCTGACCTTACCGTAAGGTAGAATTTTGATTTGGCTGGCTGCCACCGGACTGCTACATAGAGCCATTCCTATAGTTAACAGAGCTAACAACAGCGCTTGCAGGTTTAATGATGTATCGTAGCACCATTGTAATTGTCGCATGTTGACGTTGAGGACAACGAGGTGTGACGATGCTCCAGCGTTGAGTTAGATTATAATCGATCACGGACAAGTTGGCAGCTTTCAAATCTGAAAGGGCAGATCAACCAAATAGTACCCAGAACATAATAAATGCCAATTAGTCAATCACACCAAATAAATCGCACGAATACGAAAGCTGGGAACCACGTAAAGAGCTAATTTTGGCAGAACTGTAAATATGGGTAGAATAGAATATATATGTTCCATAGACGTCGTATCGGACACCTATAACCGCCACATAGTTCTCATTATCATGTAGGAATCGTGTGTAAAACTATATAATATATAATGTTAGTTGGCGACGCCATGAGCTGCGTTCAGTGAAGTAATCAGGCTATCTCGATCAATTGTTGCAATGCCTGTGAATAGGACTTAATGACCTGCGTAAGAGGATCCGATTGGCAACATTACATTTCATTGAACTTTACCTTTATAAATAAATCAATGATATTCCTTCATCGGGAACATTTGTTTTCATTCGCTTAAGGACTCCCGAAACTCATTGTACGATAGCCATTAATAATGGGGCATTATGCTAGAAGAAATTTTCAAGTACCCAGATATGAGGGCAGCGAGTTTTGAGGGGCCGTTTTAACTGGCTGGCAATTAGTTTAGTCACAGCGTTGGTGGACTAATGAAAATCAGCTATTTCACTTCACAACGCTTATACGAGTATCTATGCATCCATTTAGTTATACATACAATATCGACATAGACTATCCTGCGATGACTGTCGCCATTGATTGGACCATTGCGTAGAGGACTCACCGGCAGATTCACACTGATGATTCAATGATAGTTCATCACCTTTAGACCAAATTCATTCATCTACGAACCGTTACATTGTGCGGAGAGAAGTACAATGCCGAGTTCTACTTAAGTAATCTTAGAAATATTGATCGGTAGTTGTTTGTCCGCGTGAGGACGTCGCGTATCACGTCTGACACAAATTCGCATTATCATTAATTGGTACTTTGCGGTTCGTTCAGACGGTGCCCCCTCGAAACGTTTCGTCGTTGAAATGCCCCGAGAAAAAGTTTCAGGGTTGTTACTAGTGGTGAAACTATACCATCAACTTGTCCTGTATCTACGTTCGCAATGTTCTTCTAGTGCTGTTTTTTTTATTTGCTTTTGTCCGAATGGAGCGTCAAACTACTACCGCTGCACTTTCATAGCGTTTCTGCAGTCGCTTGCTACAAACGGTTCGCCCGTTTCCATGGATTCTCGTCACTATCGATCGACATCTACCGAACGCCGCCGACGCTGTTGGCAGTAGTAACGCTTGCAGTGACCGAGACACGTCAGAACATAAGCATATTGCACAACAACTGTAGTACGTGTGTATTATATGTCGACGATTAGCAAGTTGCGGTCGGCTTTTCTTGGCCTTTTTTCACTCCGCTAGTCATAGCAATAGCGCCTTTTTCATTTGTTGCTATCTAAATCATCAACGACGGCCAACCATTAGTCTCAGTGACGTCGGTAGATATCATAATGTTATAGATGTACATCAAAACCTGGGCCGCGCAAAATGAGCCAACGCTGAATCAGACCGTTAACAAATCTCCCTCGCCCAGGTATCCGCTGCTGTCAAGCCGAGCATTTGTGATAAAAACCGCACCATTAGAGACGTATTTGTTAATGTCGATATAATGTTCTACTATTGTACGGACAAAGCAAAATACGTCACTATGATGATTACAACGCCGATCGAAGATGTCGCCACACGCAATGACGTACAGCTCGGTAGCCACAGACATGTGCGTACGTGTGTGGATCGGGAACACGTAGATGAAATCTACAGTTTCTGCACACACGCACACATGGCGAACGCACAATGTAGGCGTCTGGTGAAGATTTGGCCCTGGTGCCTGTTTAAAATGGCCTATTGGCACCCACCGAAGAAGTCGTATTTGAAATATTGATAACTGATTACCAGCCGTAAATAACGATAACATACGACAGTTTAGTAATTGAAACACTCCGACTCGAGCAAATATCGCCTAATTAAGTGCTATATATGCTTGTAAATTAATACAATAAATCTAAATAAAAGAAATGCTGGCTCCTTGGATTGAGCGAACATTGTTGCTTTTTTACGAACGCGTACTAATTGGGAAAAGAAGATGCAGCTAGCGCCGAGCGTCCAGTTGTTTGTAAATGAATCGGTTTTTGGAGAGCAGACCTAGATCAAGCTAGATCGGGCAATGCTTTTTTTGTTTTTGCCGGCAAGTTACCTCAGGTTTATTCTATAGCTTTATAAAATAAAAGGGCAAAATCTCCACTTATACATCGATTTACTCGCCGTGTGTGATTCCGCTCTCTAAAAACCTACTGTGCATCAGTGTCAGGATGTATTTGCAGGATTTATCACCAATTTTATACATAAACTTAGCATATGGTCTCTCTAAACGTAACTGTCGCCGGATTTCGATGTCTAGCTGGCCACTCTTCTGATTGAGTAGTAGTAAATGTAGTGCATAAGTCCTCTGCACTATCGTTTGTTGAATTTAAGTTATCTCATAATTTTCAAAGTAGTCTTATTCGATAGGCTTTTGTTTGGTGCCAGCAGTGATAGTTGATCAAGAGCAATCTTGAAAGGCAAGCTATCGTTCATCTGAAAAAATCTGATGACGCCAATATAATATATATACATGCAATTATCTATGGCACGGTCAAACTAATTCATCCCTACTATCCTACTCGTAGTAAGATCAAACCGCGTACCTATAATGAGTATTTACGCGCGCACTCCTAATTGTTGCAGTCGGTGACTGCGTAGAAAGTTACGAAATGTGGCGTAATACGCAACGAATTCAGTCCTTGCCTAACAGGCCAATTGTTTGCCTTAGCAGGACTATCGTTGGCCAGCTTGCGCCAAAATATGAACGACCGTATAAAGTGGGCTGGATCGTTAAACCTATATTTAAGCCTATATGCATCGATCGATATGTTTAGAACATAGAAGGGACGCCTTCCTTAAGAAGGACTCTTCGACGGTGTATAGGCTTGATTACTATTGGTTTATTTAGAGTTCATTTTGCGTTGTATATACATCAAATCTCTCTACAATTGACTTCTATTATCTGCTCCTTTACGGCGCCGGACAGTGTTGGTGATCTACTAAAGTATAGTTACGTCAACGATTTTGAAATACGTACCGTCTATTATTGGTTGGTAGCATGAGATCATGATGGCAAGGCATGCCATATACATGAACCGACTGCATATCGCATCGATTTCAGTGTCTATTCAGAGCGTTCGTCAGACAACAGAAATCAGTACGGTGGAAAGCTATCAGTCAACGACGTGACCGTCATCATTGATACCAATAGTTGCCGTTTGCTTAGGACAGATCATCAGAACCGCTAGTCGCTAGTTACTGTCGAATTTGACAACGTCACAATCAATCCTGCCACACGTTGGCTGTTGTATGGAAATCGCGACCTGGTCATCTATGCTAGTGGGTGCCATGTATCCTATCGTAGACCATGACAGCAATGTCATGCCGCTAATCTCGTGGAAGGTATGGCGTGTGGGGATGAACATATGCTGCTAATGTACGCGGGAAGGCGACTGGGGCTGTTTTTACTAGAAGCGTTTCTCGCCATATTTGACAGCAAGCCCGAAGAAGAAGAGGAAATGATAGTGCAGTCGATCAAGTAGAAGGTCTTCAGTTCTACACAATACCGCTTGATCGTTACCCGCTGCATGTGTTGCTGCGGTTGTAACCACCATCGTTCATTTAGCTTCGTTTCGGCGTGAAGATCGAAGCTGCCCATAGAATAACGCTTGTGTGCCGGGACCAACGAGAAAGTCATCCAGGGAGTGCCAATGCAGGAATAAAAGGCTTAATAGACGAAAAAAGCCATAGGCTTAAGTGAGCTTGGCACGTTTGGTTGGATTTACTATTCTCCACTTGCGTGCATACGTGTGCACGCGTGCGTATAAAGGGTCGCGTGAATAATGCTTATAACGGTATAATGACAGCTCACCTATAATTTTTGTACTGATCTGCAAGGAGAATTATGACCACTGTAAGAAACACAGTGCTAGAATGCTTTTGATTGATATGTGATCGCTACTTGCCCATAATGAATGGCTGAACGGACATTACGTCCCCATTGACGCTGTCTTACAATGAACGCTACCAGGTCTGGAAGGCAAAAGACCTGAGCCCAAGTGATCAAATGAATCCTGCTCAAGCAAATGTGCGTGAGTGCCAGAAGTGACGCGAAAACAGCGACGAAAGTCTGGGTTTGCTGCGTTCTGTGTGGTACAGCAGAGCTGCGGAAACCGACGGGCAGGGCTGATTTGGTCTCTAAAAAGTCATTGGCGATATCAACGACAGCAGCAGCAGCAGCAGCAGCAGTCTAGCAGCCACGTAAAATACGCAACATCGGCCATAGCGTAGTAGCAATAATAACGCAGTCTTGAGACTCATGGCTCAATGCTAAATAAAAAAGTGACATCTATGTATGGTATACATATAGGTATACATGTAGTGAGAGTACTGAACGTCCAAACGAAGGTCAAAAAGCTTAGAACTTCAAGCCTGCCCAACTCTTTTTATCCCGAATGAGCAAGGCAATTACGCAGCCAGGCAAGAAGATTGCGGACTGCGTGACCCCGTAATCATAATTGAACTCAAAGAGAGATACAGTGATAGAAAAGATCAACGTATTCCCGATAAATATCATTAGGAAGGTGTGTGCCGATTACGGCTGCGCCACCTGTGGTCTGTAATGTATGGGTCTCGTAGACTTTGAAAGTATGTTCAGAGCTGAAACATTTCGATTCGATATTAAGCAAGGGTTTCTGCTTTATGAGCACGTATGGCAAGGTTAACGATATGTGTTCATAAAGTATGATATGGAGCAAGCTAGGCAAAATAAGATGAAAATTATTTTGTCAGGTATGTTTATTGCCATAGCGACAACTCAGGCTATATGGGCAGATACAGTAAAGGTTGCAGCACAGTAAAGGCGCTTAGAAGGTCGCGGTCGTTTGTTTGTTCGCAGAGTTAATTTATTAACATGTTCTGTAAC